AAAATTGTTCTTGTGGGGTCTTTTAGTCACAGCAGCAAAAAAGGTGACTCCAACAACCCTGATTGAAAGAGCTCATGTGAGTAGGTAGGTCCCCTGGGACAATCTCCCTGTGTTAAGGTCAACCCAGGTGAGACCTCAGCTCCATCTACAAAATCCCTGTGTCATATAGTCATGGGAGTAATAGTTAATGATATTCCTAGGAAATTCACACTCAAGGGGAAATTAGACAAGGGTGAGGATTGCTAGGGTCCTCTTAGAATTCTGCCTACCACACAGCTTCCGCTTCATTCTTTTTTCTTTTTTCTTCATTCATTTTTTTTTTTTTTTTTTTTTTTTGCGGTAGTGGGAATTGAGCCCAGAGTCTTGTGCAATGGCCTCACTTTGCTACTGAGCTGTATCCCCAGCTATACTTGATTCTTTTATGTTTGCTCTTAAAGGTCAGCCACCATGCTGTGAGGAAGTCCAAGCAGCCTGTGGAGTAGCCCATGTGGAAAATAGGCCTCCTCACCCTAGAACAGCCCCAGCTGAGCTCCCAGCCAACAACCATCATCACTCGGCCAGCCATGAATGAGCCCTTTTTTTTTCTTTTTTCTTTATTTGGTACTGAGGATTGAACCCAGGATTGAGCCATATCTCCAGCCATTTTTTTTTTGTATTGTATTTTGAGATAGGGTCTTGCTAAGTTGCTTAGGGGCTCACTAAGTTGCTGAGGCTGGCTCTGAACTCTCAATCCTCCTGCCTCAGCCTCCTAAGCTGCTGGGATTACAGGTGTGCACCACCACACCAGCTGAGTGAGCCATTTTGAAAGTGGATCCTCCGAGCCCCAAGATGAACCTTGCTGCAAGGGATGCATGGAGTAGATAAGCTGTCCCCATTAAGTCCTGCCCAAATCGCAAATTTATTGCCAAATAAAGGATTGTTGTAGTTCTCATCCAGTAAGTTTTGGGGGGATTTGTTACCTAACCATAGGTAATCAAAATCAAGTGACAACTAGGTGATATGATCTACAAGTACCAGAAGCTTCTTGTACAAAGAATAATAGCTTAGACTTTTTTTAGAATATTGAATCATCTGACAGTATTGGCCTAAAATGTCATTCAAAGCAGAGCACAGTGGTGCATGCCTGTAAACCAAGCAACTCTAGAGGCTGGGCAAGAGGATCGCAAGCCAGCCTCGGCAACTTAGCAACTCCTGTCTCAAGATAAAAAAGATTGGGGATGTAGCTCAGTGATAAAGTACCCTGGGTTTAATCCTTAGTATCAAAGAAATAAAAAATTAAAATAAAAAAGTCATTCAATACACACTTTATTTTTTTAGTATTGGGGATTGAACCCAACGGTGGTTAACCACCAAGCCACATCCCCAGCCCTTTTTATTTGAGACAGCTCTCACTTGCTTGGGGTGGCCTCAAACTTGTGATCCTCTTGCCTCAGCCTCCTGAATTGGTGGTACTGGTGTATGCCACGACACCAGACTTAGGCTTGCTAATTTATTAATTTAAACTTACACTGAACTGATTTAGACCAGAATGCCAGTCATCCATATCTGGAAGCCTAACATTTTAAAAGGGTTATCTAAAAATTGTATCACTTTATATTATATATTTTAAGCTGCATTTGTAAATATTTGGAATGTAAATGAACACCAAATGAATACTAATTTTCAAAGATACAAAAGACTTGTTTGTAATCACTGAAGTATTAATATTTCAATGCATATTCAATTACTTTTCAACAGTTGCTATTTTTATGGGAAAAAGAAAACACTGAGAAAATGATCTCTAATTTTGTCATTAAAGAATTTTCATCAACAGATATTAAAACTATTAGATACAAAGATTCGGAGAATATAATATCCGTACACTCCCAAAGCAGCCGCCCCCCTTTGCATTATTTGTTGAGTACTGAGAGGATAAATAACCTCTACCTTGGAGAACACTGCCAGACACCTCAACCACGGATCAAATTTGCCATCAATGAGGAAACAACATAGTATAAGGTGGCTTCCACTGCGGCACACTAAAGACACGTCACCTGTGGAGTTATTTTTGCCAAAAAATGCTTAGCCTCAAACTAATTGTGAGAAAATAGACAAATCCATATTAAGGACATTTTTTTTTTGGTACTGGGGATTGAACCCAGGAGTGCTTAACCATGGAGCCACATCCCCAGCCCTCTTTGTATTTAAAGACAGGGTCTCACTGAGTTGCTTAGGGTCTTGCTAAGTTGCTGAGACTAGCCTTGAATTTGTGATCCTCCTACCTCAGCCTCCTGAGCCTCTGGGATTACAGGCATGCGCCACCATACCTGGCCTTGGGACATTCTTTTTTTTTCCCCTCAAATTTGTTTTATTGTTTGTTATTAACTTATTTAAACTTTGGGTTTTCATTTCCGAGAAGAGTGGAAGAAAGAGAGGTGTGAACCCATGGGAAGAGCCTCTGAGACTCCTTCTGTTCCGTCTTTTCCTTGAAGATCCTTTAGAGAGCCTCCACTGTGGGATGGATGGATGTGTCCTACTGCAGATTTGATAGCCGTGTAGGAGAAAACCGTTCCAATTCTCCAACCCTGTCACATATCATGACGTGCCACCACTGTTTGAAGAAGGAAGGAGAGCCGAATGGCTTGTAATCCCAGGCTGAGACAGGAGGATCACAAGTTCTATGCCAGCATCAGCAATTTAGGGACACCCTGTCTCAAAATAAATAAAAAGCCAGGTGTGGTGGCGCATGCCTATAATCCCAGCAGTTAGGGAGGCTGAGGCACGAGTTCAAGGTCAGCCTCAGCAACTTGGTGGGACGTGTCCTTAAATAAAATGTAAAAAGGCTGGGGATGTGCTCAGTGGTTGAGTGCCCCTGGGTTCAGTCCCCAATACCAATAAATAAATTCATACATACTTACCACATACATAAATACATAAACAAAAAACGAAGAGGGCTGGGGTTGTAACTCTGTGGTCAGGCACCCCTGGATTCAATCCCCAGTGCAAAATTTTAAAAAAAGAAAGAAAGAAAGGAATGTAACAGTGTCCGCTTTATGCTGTGAGTGCAGCCCTTGCTGCTCTGCCTCTGCAACTTATTTTTAAAACACTTTTTTTCTTTTCCTCTCCCTCTGCCTCTCCCTAATCTCTCCACCTTTGTAATGTCAGGGGAAACAGGATGACCTTTCTTACCCATCTTAGACAAGAGTTATCTGTCCCCACCATAGGAAGGAAATAATCTAGACTTTAGGGATGGTACCAGATGATCTCAGAAAGGACTATCTCCCAAATTAATAAGTGAATTACAACTCAACAGAGAACACGTAGAACATGCATCCTTTGAATCGCCTCTTTAGCTCAGTTGGTAGAGCGCTTGCCTCCCATGCATAAGGTCCTGGGTTCATCCCCAGCACCACACAAAAAATTCAAGCAAACAAAAAAACTGAATCACCTTTTTTAAAAGCCCTCAGTTCCTGCTGTTGGGCAGAATCACAGCCTCTGGGACGGAAGCCCCCTGTGCTTCTCCTTTGCTAGCAAACAATAAACCTCCTTTTTCCTTTTTCTCAAAACCTCGTTATTGGAGTGGCATCGGGGACAAGGACTGAGCTTTTGACAACAGGAAGAAGAAAAAGAGAACGAAAGGAAGAAGGAAAGAAGGAAGGAGGGAGGGAGGGAGCACACTGCATAGTCCCCCACCATAAGCAGGAGGAATGCACAGAAAACAGCCAAGCAAAAGTGAAGGGAGGAAGAAGGGGGAGAAGCTATATATATATATATATATGAATATATGAGAGAGAGAGAGAGAGATAGAGATAGAGAGAGAGAGATAGAGAGAGAGAGAGAGAGAGAGAGAGAGAGAGAGAGAGAGAGAAAGAGAAATAAAAGCCTAGGGACATTCTTAAAAACCACTGACTTGGACTCTTCAAAAATGTCAATGTTGCAAAAGGCAAAACAAGCTGGGGAGCTCTTCTAAAATGATAGATTAACTGAAAGAGTTAAGGAAATGTGAATTTTGATTAGATCTTGAATCTTCCCCCTCCGACAAGGGGAAAAAAAAATCGGTAACACTATAAGATTTAAATATGCACTGCATATTAGATAATAGTGCAGTACTAAATGTTAATTATCTGAGTGGATTATTGTGTTGTGGTTAAGTAGGCGAAACTCCTTGTTCTTCAGAGGCACATGCTAAAATATTTACTGGTGGAATGTCGCTATGAGCCGGGCGTGGTGGAGCATGCTTGTAATCTCAGCAGCTTGGGAGGCCAAAGCAGGAGGATCCTGAGTTCAAAGCCAGCCTCAATAACTCAGCGAGGCCCTAAGCAACTCAGTGAGACCCGGTCTCTAAATAAAATATAAAAAATTGCTGTGGATGGGGCTCTGTGGTTAAATGCCCCTGGGTTCAATCTCTGGTACCAAAAAAAAAAAAAAAAAAAAAAAAGTCTCTATGCCTCCAAGTGCCACACTCGGGGCAGTTATGCCAGGACTGAAATTCTATACCTAGTTGAGGAATTTTGCACCGACAGCCTCCTGGCCAAAGCTGGTAGCTGGGGGATTTCAGGTTGCGGTGGCCCGCGCCATGTAGCCGTCACCATGGTGGCGTAGGGTCGCACACAGCCTGCACACTGTGTGCCAGCAAGCTGGTGACGGTGCACGCCATGAGCAGCAAGGACAAAACAGGCAACGTTTCCTCTGCACAGATGCAGAAGCTGGGCCGTCGCCTCCCTGGGTTTCACGTGGAGCCCTGAATATGGCCGCAGCACAGCGGGGAGGGCGAAGCAAAGCCGCCTCCACCTCTTCCACGAGGACAAAGACACAGGCACACTCGGTCCACTGTTTCCTGGGGCGAAGGCACGCGCGCCCACCCCGACAGGCACACGACAGGGGTTCTGCGCGCCCGACGCCCGCACTTTAGACAGGCGCAGGCGCGAAGGCAAGCCACGCCCCCACGCGATAGCAGCACGTGCGGCCAGAGGCGCTTTACGGCAATGGGGGAAGGCACGAGGCCGCTGGAGGACGTCACGTTGGGGGCACTGCGTGTTCTGGGCTCAACGCTCCAAGTCATTGAGGGCTGCCAGTTCGGCCGTTGACGGTCCGACGGCCAGGCGATCATGGGGGTGACGGAAGAGGTGTTGAAGAAGGCCAAAGACTACGTGAAGACTAAGGAGTTCCGGGATTACGTAACCAGCACCCACTTCTGGGGTCCTGTGGCCAACTGGGGCCTTCCATTGGCCGCCTTGAGGGACATGAAGGCGTCGCCGGAGCTCATCAGTGGCCGCATGACCACAGCGCTCATCTTGTACTCGATGACCTTCATGCGCTTCGCCTACCGTGTGCAGCCTCGAAACATGTTGTTGATGGCGTGCCACTTCACCAACGTGGTGGCACAGAGTGTGCAGGCTGGCCGCTACATAAACTATCACTATCTTGGTGACGCCCAGCGGGCCACCGCCGCCAAGGGCAGCGCAACTCCAGCGGCTAGCTCCGGTGTCCAGTGCCCCCCAAAAGCTTTCTAATGTGTGGGGACTCCATCAGATCTTTGCAGCTTGCAGGCTGAGCCACATTTCCTTCCGAAGACCCATGGAAATTGGTTCTGACTCAAAAAAACAATGAGAAAATGACTTAAAACTGCAGTTTGATTAATAAACAATAGCATCACAATGAAGCTGTTGATCGTTGCCTATTTTGTGAACTGGAAATCAGTTTTTGGCGGAGCGTAGTTTGGCTGGGAGGATCTGCACATTGGGGGGTCGGAGGGAGGACGAAGACTTTGGGAAAACATTTAACATCATCCACTAGCTCATAGTTCTTTGTTTTGCTTTCCGTTCCTTTTTGTTTGGCTCTCTGGGGAACATGCTTAATACCACACCTGATTTTTAAAACTTGATACAAGTCTGTACCAAAAAAGTTTGGGGGCTATTTCTATTGAGGGAAATGTTTCCATGAGAATTTAAACAGGAATGTGAAATCCAGTGTAAATTTGTAAGCACCACTTAGGGAATCTAGAATCAGTTATAGAATCTGCCATGGAGACGGGATAACAACTCTGAGGATGGTTGCTGTCAACCCTGGGTTCTAGGCAAATAAAAAGTAAAAACGACAAGGCCATAATTCTTTCCTCCTTATCAAAAATGGAGATAGATAGTTAACCTATCACCCTGTGTTGAATGCTAGCTAGGGTTGGGGTGTGAAGGGAAGTGGTCAAAAGAGTAGCCCAGAATATTTCCCTAGAGATCCTGTGCGTGCTAGACTTAAACCAAGGAGCAGAAGACGAGGGAAAAGAGAAGAGTGGGGGCTGTGGGGCCATGATCGCCAGGGTAGAGGCTGCCCTCTGGCATTTGACCCTACATTTTCACCGGCCCTTGTCTCTGGAGGATGCAGGAAGATCCAGATAGGTCTGTCACTGGGGAACCCATGTATGTTTGGAAGTGCTCAAACTATGCTTTTGTTTATTTTGATACTGGGGATTGAACCCAGGGGTGCCCTACCACTGAGCTATATCCTCAATCCTTTTTGTTTTTATTTTCGGTTTTGTTAAATTATTGAGACTGGCTTCTAACTCGTGATCTTCCTGCCTCAGCCTCCTGAGTCACTGGTATTATAGGAATGTGTCATTGCACACCACTTAAACTGCTTTTAAGTTTTCAAATGCAAAGAAATTGGAAAGGAAACTGAAAGGTTCTGAAGATAACAGCTCTTGGTTCAGTTACATTAGTGGAATTCTAGAAGATTCCTCACCTTTTCGCATCTAAGCATTAGACCTCTTTGGGGACAGTTTCACATTCCGCATAGGGCAGTAGAGGTGGGGAACAGATTATGGGACAGTATATTGTATTTGTTATCTATCGCTGTGTAACCAATCAGCCCACAACTTAACAGCTTAAAAAAATGAAGAGTCTCAGAATTTCTGAGGGTCAGAAGTCTGTGCTGCAGTCTTTGGACTGGGGCTGAAAGATGTACTTCCGGATCACTTAGAGTTGTTTGCAGGGAGCTTCAGTTCCTTGTCATGTGGGCCCCACCTAGGGCTGCTAGTGATGCCACACAGCTTCCTCTAGGGGTATTCTGAGAGAGCCCAAGATATGATCCTTAATTGTACCTTATACCTTAATTGCAGCGACATACTATCACGTGCTATGTTCACACACAGCAACCTTAGACACTGGAAGGACAGTGTGAGGGTGGGACTATCAGGAGGTGAGGATCACCAGGGTCATCTTAGAAGCTGGCTACCACATGGTTCTAGAATAAAAATTGTCATGTTTCCCGTACTCAGTATGAACCAAGTAAGGTCATTGCCCATCTTTACAAAGACATGTCACAAGAAGCTTAGTTTACAGTTGTGTGATCAATTACTAATGTGCACATATCAGAGCATAGGTTTGAAGTTTTTGGAATGGTGGTTCTTAATATTTTAGATAATCCAGACTACAATGTAGTTATAAAGTCCAGTTGAGTTATGAAATGAATCATATCAAGATTTTTATTAAAACATTAAAGGTTTTTTCACTGAGTAGAAATTAATATATTTTCAGGCATGTCTTACAAAACAAATTTTTGTACAAAATATGTAGCCAGGTGTAGTGGTGCACATCTATAATCCCAGCGGTTTGGGAGGCTGAGGCAGGAGGATTTCGAGTTCAAAGCCAGCCTCAGCAAAAGCGAGGGGCTAAGCAACTCAGTGAGACACTGTCTCTAAATAAAATGTTAAAAGAGCTGGAGATGGGGCTCAGTGGTCGAGTGCCCGAGTTCAATCCCTGATATCAAGGGGGAAAAAAAGGGCTGGGAATGTGGCTCAGGTGGTAGCGCGCTCGCCTGGCATGCGTGCGGCCCGGGTTCGATCCTCAGCACCACATACCAACAAAGATGTTGTGTCCGCCGAGAACTAAAAAATAAATATTAAAAAATTCTCTCTCTCTCTCTCCTCTCTCACTCTCTCTTTGAAAAAAAAAAAAAGGGGGGAAAAAAAAAGGCAGAGGGTGGGCTGGGGATGTGGTTCAGAGCCCTTGGGTTCAATTCCTGGTACAAAAAACAAAACAAAACATATTTCAGTAAGTGGCCACTGTCTGTTGAAGACACTTCAGTGCAGCTAGGTTTCTAATTAACCTGGTAAAGGAGGCAATGCCTGCTGATAATTTCCCACCAATCTACATTTATAATTCAGAGGTCAAAATGCCCAGAGTCTCCAAGACTGCAGCCCCTCCACTCCCATGCCACACTGCATGCTTACTAGTTTAGTTTGTAACATGATCACCCAACTAAGACATGCCCTTTGTTGCCTAGAATGTTAGTATTTAAAGCTACAGAAGTCATTAATGCTTTAATAAAAAATGAACCTCTTCATATCATTAGGGCAACAATAATTTCATAATCCCCCCAAACTCTCAAATATTGTGACCTTGGCTATTTAAAACTGACTACAGATCTCTTTACTACTACTTTATGAAGCCAGTAATAACACATCCGAGTTGGCAGAGAATTTCCAGAAGTTTTGGACACCAACACACTTGAATCATTTCCCAGAATTCAGGTGTTTTTATTGAGTTTAATGTCACATCTTCCTCTGAGTTCTTGGAGATCTGTGGTAAAGAACATGCTAAAGCCAAGGAACTGCCTTATCTTTGCAATACAAGTTTGAACGTTTTTTTTTTTTTTTTGGTACTGGGCATGGAGGTCAGGACCTTGAACATGCTAGGCAAGCACTCCACCACTGAGGTATGTCTTCAGCCCTTTTTAAACTGAGATTCTTGCTGAGTGCCCCAGGCTGACCTTGAACATGTGATCCTTCTGCCTTAACCTCCCCAAGTAGCATTATAGGTGTGCACCATCACACCTGGCTCTCAAAATCTTTCAAAATTCTGAACCACACATCTTGTATCCCATGTAGTGGAGAGAAATCATACTGCTGGACGAAGACAAGCCACTCTCCAATAGAACCAAGACAGCTCTAGGCAGAAAGGAATCTTCTTCCCATGACCCTGAGGACTCCTGAGTGGCCCCTGGAGGTGTGCTCATAAAAAGGGGCTACAACAAATTCTGGGAAATATGACACAGATGTCTTGCAACTTGAATTTATACTTTATTATTTTGAAACTAAACAAATTAAGAAAATTCAAAATACACAAATGCATGTTTGTTGTAAAAACTTCACACAGGAATATACAAAACAGAAAAACCAAATAATTTGTAAGTACCCCATGGCCCCAATTCCTTTATAGACACAGCACAGCAAAAGGTTAGGAAAAACACACGACTTTCCAGACCTGTTATTAGAACATAAAAAAGTCTTACGGCATGCTATGTGCTGTTAAACATTTTGATGTTCTATTTATTTTTTGTGGTGATGCTCAGGAAGGAAGCCAGGGCCTCAGCTGCTGGGTGAGTGCTCCACTGCAGCCTGCTCTCCTATTGTACTGCAGCACTGCAGGGCCATCTCTTTCTTCTTAACAGTTGCCCACTATTCTGCAGGATGGATGCGCTAGACTTTCTTTAAGGGTCCTCTCTCTGGCAATGGCTGGTAACAATGCTACTGTGCACATCCTTCTGTGCACACCCGGGGGCCCACCTCTGCTGGAGAGCTGCCCACAGGCTGATGTCTGTGTATATGCTACATTGGCTTTAAAGCTCTCTCTGGACCCGCCTTCCTATCTGTTACTGATATCAAGTTTTCTGAATACCTTGGATGTTTCAGAGCAGACAAATCCAATGAGATAATAGCTTATCTATGGTCATCCATACTTTACAAATCCTTATATGTGCATCTACTTCAGTGTCTCTAACATGGTGGACATTCCATAAGTGTTTTTCAGATAAATAGGGAAAAATTAACTAGACACAGGTATGAGTCAGTTCACTTTCCAAAGTTCCTAGAGAGAGAAATCAGGTCTTAAACTGGTTAGTGCATCAACCAGATTCCATTTGATTCCACGTTTTGTATCTCATTGCTAGAAACCAGGAGATATTTCATTGAAGTTTCTTAGTTGGGAAAGTTGCAAGATGAATTAAAATTCTTCCTTCACCACTGAAGAGTTCCCAAAGAGCTCCAGGAAAAAACACAAGACTAAAAACTGCACAGCAACTGAGAAGACAAAGCGTGAAGCTGTAGGTACATGTGAACTCACCCAGGTTTTACAGAATCGTAGTAAATGCATTTTAATGTAGACATTTATGCCCAATATACCTCCTCCCTCCACCCATTCTCTACAAATTACAACCTTGATGGGAAGCTGGATAGGCAAAGGAGCAGATCACCTTCCCTCAGTGTACTTCTTCCAGACAAATTCCGTCCCTGAAAGGTTCAGAGGTGACTTGATCCAGTTTAGTGCCACTGGCCTTGCAAGTGATCAGATGGGGTGAAAGTGAGGCCGACCCCATAGATCACTGCACACAATGGTGCACTGCTTGTGTCATTCAGGCACAAACAGGGTGAAGCCAGGAGTGGAGATTTGGGGTGTAAAAATGAAAAGAGCTAAGTACAAAGGAATCTGAATCTGTTGAAAGGAAATGTCTTAGCTTTATAAGAATGTCGAAAGTTCACTCTTAAATTTCATAATGAAGGACCAGGCTTAGTTAGCAGTATGACATTTATACCAATAAATACTCATAAACACTCAAAGGCCAAAAGATGAATGTTCAGTTAGATGAGTACACGCTGGCCGTGAGGGCCAGGCCCTGCCCCTGGCACTGGGTATACAACTGCACAAAAATTGCCATGGCTGTCACCGAGTTTACTCCCCATAAGTATATTGTAAATAAGCTGCCAACTGAGCCCTCCCCTTGATGTCCCTGATATGTCGTGGGCCTGGGCCCTTGTTAGTTAAGCCACTCGCTGTCCTCCAGCCCTGCACTCACCACCATGGCCGTCCCCTGGCCTGGAGCCTCGGTCTATTCAAACCTGTTAGGAATGGTTCAGTTCTATACTCGGTTGGCTAGAGAGCGGCCTTCCAGGCACTTTGCCCTCTTGCCTTCTTCCAAAATGGAAGGTTCCAGGCCAGCCCTGGCCATCTGCATGCGAGACACTGTCAGGCAGTGGGCAGGGGGATAGGATGCATCTGCCTGGGGCACAGCACTCCATGTGAGGCCTTGACACAGGACTGGCCAGAAAAGAATCTCACCTTTGAAGTAGCCGAAGTCCCTGGCTGTTAACAGCTATGGCACAAGAGTATCCAATATTTTTGGATTGGCATATATCACACAACCGCAAATTTGTGAATATGGGAAAGAAAAAATATATATGTGTGTGTGTGTGTGTGTGTGTGTGTGTGTGTGTGTGTGTGTGTATTTCCAAAGAATCAGAGCAAAGTCCAGGACAACAAAACCTCCTCTTCGCTGGAGTATAGTACTCTGAAAACTTCTTCCTTTTGCCTGAGCTGGAAGCCATGCTGACTTTCACAGGACATGCCTGACTTTTGTTGAAGGTCAACCTAAAATAAAAGAGAAAGTCTTTTTTTGTTTATTTCCTTAATTTGAGAAGAAAAAAGTTAAATACTGAAGATGGTTACTTATGTGAACCAGTTTTCCTAATAGAAAGAAAACCAGTCGGTTGCTATTAATGCCACAGTAAAAGCTAGCTGTCATTTCTGGGGGCAGAAATGGTTTTGGATTCTGCTATAAAGTTGATTCACTGAAGAGCACATCAGTGAGTTCAGGTATATTTGGCTAAACAAAGCTGCCAGGGAGGTGCTGTTGAATTACAGATATGAGAACTATTCATTAGAAAAAGAGCACAAAGCTCAGTGTCCTTCCTTTGAAATAATAAGGACACAGGGAAGCAGACGAGACCGTTGTGTGTTATTATGGACTCACATAAGAGGACAGAATCTAAGCAGCAAGGCTCTTCATCCTTATTTAACATCATATGCCTAAACTCACCTCAGTCCTTCCTTTCAGGTGTCTCTCTCCCAGGCTCCTTTGAGTCTCTTTTTGGATTTGGGGGATGGAGGCTGTCTAGCTTCTGCATGTCTTCTCGAAGACCATTTCTCAGATCTTCATTGTTCCTCAGAAATTCCTTCATCACTTCCAGTCGATTTGAGATCTGCAAGCAGCCATACAAAGCACAGCTTAGGGTGACTCTTACAGCAGACTTGTCATGCCAATGAAAAACTCACTGGCTACAAGACTGGCCCCAGGGCTGGAGCTCGATAGCCGAGTGCACACTCAAGCTCGAAGCCATAGGCTGCATCCCCAGCGTCCCACCAGCCTGGACCCAAAGGCGGGCTCTTGTTCAAGTGCCCACCAAGAAACAGAAATCTTGCCTACAGTTATCTGTCCATCAATGGGTTAAAATTTGAAAAACAAAAACAAAACAAACCCTTTTAAATGAGGTACCCTCCACTCAAACAAAACACAACTGAGGATAGGTTTTGAGACCATGCAAGAGGGTATTTGCTTATCTATTGAAAAAAAATTTTTTTTGGCTTTAAAACTTCCTACATTTATATGAGAGTTTCATCTTACACACATGTGTTTTATATATGTGTCTATTCATCTATATTCTACATAGATGAATACAGAATATATTCTATACAGATGAAGAGACACATATAAAATAAAGCCCTTACCTTTGGAATTTTGTGCCTATTTTATTGCTGTTAAATAAACGAACATACATTCACATAAATGTACAGGTATGAAATTCAAAATCTACAAGGTGAAAGGAAAAAAGTCGGCCCTCTTCTGAACCCTGTCCCCAGTTACCCAGCTCTTCTCCCTAGAGGTGACCATAATGAACCATCTGTTGTTTCTTCCCGAGACAGTCCATGCATTGACACGCAAGCATGTCTGTGCACATTTAAAAAACACAAATGGCAATAGACTAGACACTGTTCCTCAACGGCTCTCTTCTCTAGGAGATTATAAAGTGTACCTTCACTATTTTTTAATGGCTGAATAGTATTCCAATTATGGCTGCTTCACATCTTAACACATTTCAAACCTTCTGTTCAGATAATGCTACAGTAATTAACCTGGTACATGTGTTATTTTGCACAAGTGGCACGTCTGTGGGATCTGTTTTTAGAAGTGAGATGCAGTTTGAGTTTCCTATTTTAATTTTAACAGGTTTTGCCAAAACTCCACGAATAAAGGTTGTACCAATTTTAAGCCACTCCCAGCAACACGCTTCCCAACATGGAGAGCGGCCCGCAGTAGCTTCCGCTGGGCTCACAAAGGTGAGAGTTATTCAAATTTTGAGGTGTGGTTGATGTTTTAGATGGAGGATCCCCAATTCTAAGGTATGTCAAGGTGATCTAAAAATCTAATGAAGAAAAATAGTGCAGCACCTGCCCTAGAGGACAGGGAGCTCCGACACTGTAGAGTGGACACGATTAACCCCACTGCAGTAGGTCTAGGTGGAGCCTCGGCGCGCATTCAAATTACTGGGATATAAACAACCAAAACAGCTGGGGGAAGAATAGCTAAGGCTGTGGCCAAGATGACTAGTAGCAGGGAGGGATAGAGCAGTGGAAGATGACAAGTTTTCAGACTGGTTGGTAAGCAGACTGGGGATGCACCCTCCGGGTGGAGCTGTTAATGACATGGCTAGTAGCCAGCCCAGAGCTTCTGCAAGACGCCTGCACTCCCAACAAACCTGGAAACCATCAAAATGTGAAAGGACAGTTACTCAGGAGGCTGAGGCAGGAGGATCCCAAGAGTGAGGACAGCTTCAGCAACTCAGTCTTGTCTCAAAATAAAAAGGGCTGGGGAATCGCTCAGTGGTAGAGCGCTTGCCTAGCATTCACAAGGCCCTGGGCTCCATCCCCAGCACCACAACGTGTGCGCGCGCGCACACACACACACAAAGTGAAAGGAAGACCACGCCTACACGTTAGTAGCCACAAGCACTGCACTGTTAGCTCTTAAGCCTGATGCCCTGGGGCTACTGGGAGTTTCCAGCCAATGCCCAGCACTGCACAGGGCAGCTCTGTGCCACAAGAGCACTGATCCTCACTGGCGCCCCCTGCTCCCTGTTCCAAGACCTTTGGAGCTGTGACGCTTGTGCGATCACCTCCTGACCCTTTCTGTTGACCCTCAGCACAGGTTTTCTCTATTCTTTTTCTTTGCTCAGGAGTTTTATGCAGAAGCCTCTGCGCCTCCTCCACCATATGCTTTAGTTTTCTTTTCTGTTCCAAGTTGCCTTTCTTTCTCATTCTTCCAACAGGAGTGCCTCATAATTGACATTTCTTGGAATTTCAGTTTTTCCCTTTATGTAAAGCAATAAATGTGCCTAAGAAATGTTCATGGCCAGGGAAAGTATTTTAGCTTAGGTATGACGCAGTCAAAAGAAGGTTTAAAAAAAAAGTTACTGGGGCTGGGGCTGTAGCTCGGTGGTGGAGCACTTGTCTAACATGCATGAGGCCCTGGGTGCACATCCCTGGGACCACAAGATAACAACAAAAATTATTAATAACAAGTGAGGGGCTGGGGCTCAGTGGTAGAGCACTCGCCTCGCACGTGTGAGACCCTGGGCTCAATTCTCAGCACCACATAAAAATAAATAAAATAAATGTATAAATAAATATATATATGTTTTTTTTTATTTAAAAAAAAAGAATGAGCGAGGCATGAGGTGCAGTGATGTCCACCTGAAACCCCAGGGACTCGGAGGCCGGATTGGGCCACTCAGTGAGACCCTGCCTCAAAGTAAAAATAAAAAGGGCTGGGGATGTGGCTCAGTGGCCAAGCACCCTGGGCTCAATCTCCAGTATTGCAAAAAATTTTTTAAAACTTTAAAAAGTAAAAAAATTTTTTAAAAAGAATGAACTAGGCTTGTGTACACTTCTGTATGCAAATTAAGGACAATAACCCAATACCACTTAGGATTCTTGTTGGGAACTAGAAATGATCTCCTGGGAGCACCGGTGAGCACTGTCTGCAACAAGCCACTCTTCCCCTGCCCCCAAGAAATGTCTGAGACCAGCCACCATATGCTGCTCTACTATTCTGATAAAGGATGCCGGGCAACGTCACTCTTCCGGTCACTTGAGCTGAAACTCTCACCCTTATCTTTGCGCCCCTTCCAACATCACACCCACCCTCCTCACCACCTCAGCCCCCATCCCCATTACCACCCTCTCTTATTTGGGTAACTGCAGGAGCCTCCTACCAGGTCTCCCTGCTCCGACCTCTGCCCCCTCTTCCTCCACCCCGGGGCATCTTCTACTAGAGCTGGCTCCTTTGGTCATTGTTATTATAGTCACTGGTTAGGATCTCTGCTAGGCCAAGAGCCTGGGTCCTTCCAGTGCCTCACAAGGCCCACGACTTGCTTCGTCTCCCCTCCCTTCTCTCATCTCCTAATTATTTTTCAACTCGGCCTCGCTGCTCAACTTAGTCTCCCCTGCCCAAGTGTTTTTCCTTCAGGCATGTGCACGACTACTCCTCACCTCCTTCCTTCCAAGGTATTGCTAACTCTGACCTCCAGGAGGCCATTCTGACACTTGTCCCCACAGTGCCATGCCTGCCTTCCCCAGGCTCTGCTCTATGGTGCATTCCTCTTCTCCGTTCTGACCCACATCATTTACCTGTTGCATTTCCTTTTTATTGTCCATCTCCTTCTACGGGATCTTTGTTTTGTTCACTGATGCCTACCCATTTTCTAGGGCTGTGCCTGGCATATAGTAGGTGCTCAATAAATACTCTGAAATATAACAAATGAGGTGCCATTTTTCGATCCTTTCCTTGATGGCCATTGTCACCATCCATTCTCCCTAAGCTTCTCCAAGGATCTCTGTGAAAGTGTTTTCCTCATTAGAGTTAAAGAAATCTATAACGATTTCCAAATGTGTGCAGATTCTTCACGTTTTTCAACCATTTCTTGTGATCAATGTTCTTTCACTGAGGGTTGGCAGGACTACATGAAGGGAACTTGGTAGCAGTGGAATTCTGGGGCCTGAGTAGTTGTTGTTCCCATTTGACTCCAAAGCAGAAAGCATCTTACAACTACGGTTCCACATGTACCGTGCATTTAAATGTGAGCCCCCACCCCTTTAATAGTAATACATATCATTAAGGCTCATGAAGCTAACAGAAAAGAATGGAGATGCTGAGCTCTCCGTGGTCTGGTGCGGTGACGCAGCTGCAGGAACAAGCAAACTAAAGAACTGCTCCCAACTGGTTTTCTCAAGTTGGCTTTCCAAATCTACCTCTACTGTTTTAAAAGAACCCAGAAAAAGGTCTTGATAAACACTCACCAAAAAAGTTCTCTGGTCGTAACCTTATCACTCTATTTCTTGACTCCTGGGTACATGTTTTTCCCTGTCACCTTAGAAGAGAATGCATCTTACCACTGATAGGGTCTTACAAGAAACTGGCAGCATTTTTTTCTTTCTTAGAAGTAACTGAAATGACGGTGTGTCTTACAACAGATGGCATTTTAGACTGACTGAAATGTGGTCTTATTGAATCCCAACTTCGGAGACTAACCCTAAAGAACATGGATAACCTATACGGTATTGAACTTTCAGAAAAGGTCAAATTTCACACACATGGAAAGCTGACCTTCAACTTCTTTGAGATAACATGCCAATCAATCCCAACTTATTCTGATCAACTGAAGTGAGGACAAATGCCGTGGTCAGCAGAACCGACAGCATGAAAAAGGAGAATCTGTCAACTCTACCGAGGGACCTCATGACCCAGAGGACAGGCCGATTAACACTCATTTCCTCTCTGTAAGAGAGACAATGAGAGTTTAGAATTGACAGTTGCCAGAGCGTCAGTAACACCAGATCTGCAGCACAGTATGTGGAAAGCCGCAGGAGCCCTGGGGCAACCCTCACACCCCGGCGCCAGCTTCTTGGAGCCCTTGCTGCCTGTCTAGCAGGGGAGACGGTCAGATGACTGCCAGCTTCCCTTCCAGCTCTCCATGACAGATGCCTGGCTCCATCACGCTGCCACACATGTCCCTGGCTCTTGGCTACACAAGCAGGAAAAGAACTGCAGCTGCCCCAAGAGAGGAGAGCGCAGCCCCAGGGACTTGGGCAGGGGGTCTGGTCTCCTGGGTATCTTCTTTGATCTATTCTGCTTCCAGAAGCAGCAGAAGGAAGAAAAGCAGGGCTGGTTCTAATGGCATTTAAAAATAAAGTCAGATGCAACACGTGGATTCAGAAGACTTCATGTTCTAAGTTACCATTTTAAAAACCCTAGTGGGTACACCCATGCCCCAGTGTACTGGACTTTGGGTTAACAGAGCTCCTCACACTGACTAAACATCTGGATCAAAGCCCAGATGATTAATATTGGCATATTTACCGGGAAGGAGCATGGCTTAATGAGAGAAACACGCACTCTGTATTAAATGAATACTCCTCCTGTGTTTAATGAGGTAACCCAGCAAAATCACTTTCCTTGGCTAAGGAGGAATGCAATTTCCTGAAAGGGTGTGTCCCAGATCTCCTGGTGATCTAGAATTTGAATTCAGCCAGGTCTGGAATATCTCTGAACCCTTCCTGAATACAACCCTGTGGCTGTTGGTTTCTTTTAGACCTTGCACATAACAAAGGAGATTCTCGAGACCATGGCTCACCTGCAGGTCATGAGTTAGAAACCTCCATGATCCTCTCTCCTACTTTTCGAACCTCACCCCTTGTCCCTGATAATGTACCTAGCCACTGAGGTCCATCAGTTCTGCTGAGCAAAGCCTCCTGAATCTGGCTCCTCCTGCAGACTCTAGCTTGTGTCCTTTTTTCAAAGCCTCACATGACCAACAGACTTCAGCACAGTCTCTGGCTACTCATCCAACTCATCCAAGTTAGAGTTCACTTTCTAAAAGCCACACGGATTCTAGCACTGCTGTTCTTTCTTGCTTAAAAACATGCGAGCTCCCCATCACTTTGGGGGAGTAAGGCACAAACCCCTTGGTGTGGCACAGAAAACCTTTCAAAACAAGGCTTCAGCCCATCATCCCACGTGCCTACCTGACCACTTTCTGTGCTCACCCTGCCATCAGCCAGGCCCAGGCCAGTCTCTCATGCCTTTTCAAGTGCTGTCCCTTCTGCCAAGAACATCCTCCTTTCTTTGCTGATTTGCAGAAATCTTGTTGAACCTGTGAACTCCAGTTTAACAGCACCTTCTTGGTGAAGGCTTTTTCGGCAATCCCCCTTGCCTGGGAGAACCACACCCCCAGCACTCATTCAGAATTCTGCTGCAGCCCTGATACACATTAGGCCCTTGAATGCATCAGATTAAAGTGAAAATATTTGTTAAAATGTAATGCTGACCAGGGGCTGGGGCTCAGCGGTAGAGCACTCGCCTGGCATGTGCAAGGCCCTGGGTTCGACCCTCAGCACCACACAAAAATAAAGAAAGAAAATAAAGGTATTGTGTTCATCTGCAACTAAAAAGTAAATATATATCTATATTTTATTTTTAAATTAACACTGACCAGTACCAAAAGAAAATTCACTTCCGGAAAAAACTAATCTTGTAATTACTTTGTCAAAACGATCTGCTCCTCCTCCCGGGCGCCCTTCTTTCCTTACTCACACAGAGCACATAAGTCTTTCCTTTACCTCTTCGGGCAACATCTTTTGTTCTTCTGCTTGAAGATACATCTCATGAAGTTTTTCCCTCAGTAATTCCATTTCGATCTCATTTACTTGGCTTGCACTCAGGTAACTTCCTGTTTCGCCTTCATACCCATCTCGCTGATCTTCCTCAGGGATGTGAACAGCCCAGTCAGACGTCAACAACTGTGGGAGGACGGCACAAGCATGTGAACTCGTTCATATATTTATTTTTTTTTAAATTTTAATATTTATTTTTTAGTTCTCGGCGGACACAACATCTTTGTTGGTATGTGGTGCTGAGGATCAAACCCGGGCCGCACGCATGCCAGGCGAGTGCGCTACCGCTTGAACCACATCCTCAGCCCTATATATTTATTCTTAAAATTGATTTTTGTTGCCTTGTTTTGCAGTGCTGGGGATGGAACACGGGCCTCCTGCATGCTAGGCAAGTGCTCCACCACAGAGCTATACCCCAGGCTCACTGAAGGGATTCGATGCTCAAAGAATCTGTAATTGAACATCATTAACTGGATCTATTTTAATAATACAAAAGCTTCCCAGTCCTTCGGTACTATTTCCTCTGCCATTCTAAAATTTAGTTTAGGGCTGGGGATGTAGCTCAGGGCACTTACCTAGTATGCATGAGGCCCTGCATTTGATCCCCAGATCTATAGAAAGACAAAATTTAGTTTAATAAACGTCAAATTCTATATGAGTGACTGGGCTTCTGACTCCTTAGTTCTGAACACCAGAACTAATTTTTTCTTTTTTCCTTGTTACTGGGAATTGAACCCAGGGGCAGTTAACCACTGAGCCACATCCCCAGCCCCTTTTTGTATTTTAATAGAGACAGGGTCACACTGAGTTGCTTAGAACCTTGCTAAATTGCTGAGGCTGGCTTTGAACTCGCAATCCTCCTGCCTCAGCCTCCTGAGTTACTGCACCCGGCCCAGAACTGATTTTTACCTGTTCTATTCTGGAGTATACTGCCACAATCTCTGGAATATTCCGGAATTCATTTAGAAAATTTTGGATTTTTATCTGAAAGTCTCGGAGCCATGTAGATGATACTTTCATCTCTGAAGAGTGCATGATCTCGTTGCGACACTTAATCACCTATAGAAAGATTAAAAAAAAATACCAAATAAACAATTATACAGCTTCAAAGTCAATGGGGTAAACAGAGATCTTGTGGCTCCAAAGAAAAACTGCAGAAAGGCTTTGTTAATTACAAAATCAGCAAGTGTGGTCTGGGAGCAAGGGGTGGGGAGGCAGAGCTTTCTTGGAACCACGCATATAAATGTCTCATCAGCACAGTGGGCATGGGGCCCTCCAGCCACCAAGTCAGATCTCTATTTCATTTCTTCTTGCCCAGAGAGCACATATCAAGAATTCAAGTCACTTCACAAATTGAAATGCTGTCAAGGCATTATTAGATAACCCAAGTGAAGCTGGCCACACACAATAGTAGGGACACTGGGAGAGATGGCAGAGAGACAGAGTGCAGAGTGGCTGACCTATCTGAAGAGGAAGCCTCTACTCAACTCCCGGCTTTTTGCTACAGGAGCTACAAGGCTGGCGGCACCAGGCCTTCTCATTTTTCAAGAGGAGCTGGAAATTAATATTTTTTATGACAATTAATTAAAATCATAAAAATAACAACTAGGCAGGACAAATAAAAGATGAGAGGCATCATGCCATCTGTCATGTGCCAGCCAGGTAACAACTCTTACAGTTTTATTTGGCCAGAGGGCTCCAGGATAAAGAGATGCAAATGGGGCGACCATGGTTCTGCCTGTTCCCTAAGCCTCTGATGCAGACACCCAAGAATCCAGAAGCTCCTGATAGGACCTGCAGGTGCCTGTGAGTACTCTCGAGTCTTGAGGGGATGTTCAACACCCTGCCACAATAATAATGAACTAACCAAGGAAAGAAACACAAATACGCCTACAAATATCCTTAGCCTCTGCAACACTGGGTCTGACTGGATAGTTCACATTTCTCCAAATCTCTTAACTTACAACAAATCACGGAAGGGCAAGCATATTGGTTCTGGGTATAACCACAGGCTGAAGCAGACAATGCGAAATCTTTTAAATATTGTCGGAGTGCCAGGAAGTTGGGTCAAGGGAGTTTCCTGATGTGGAAACCATGATGAAAAGAAAATCAACTTTTGCCTATGTTTTAAGAAAAATGGCGCTCACATATTAACATATAATTCACATAAAGTCTTCCACTTTCTTGGCAAAAAGACATCAAAGGGGTCAACTGGTGTGACAGGTCTTTGTCTCTGTGAGGTCATAAAGAAGTCTTAATCCTTTCAGTTGCTGCCACACTGGCAAAATATACAGCATCTTCTCTACATATCATAAATAATCCAGTAATGCTATCTACTCTTTTCAATTACCCTCAGAATAAAACAAAAAACAAAAAACACCCATGTGAGAGTTGTTATCTGGTGGATGGACTAGAGAAAAAGCTAAATCTCCCAGAGGAAACCTGGCAAGCACAGTGATCTGACACCGTTTATCCATCTGTGTTCACATTTTCTTCAGTGCTATGTAATGTGGTCTTGCAACTGTTTAGCCAATGAGATTCAGAAAGGCAGGATTCAAATGCTGGCATATGACAGATGATGCTTTTTTTTTTTTATTACAGTCCTGAGGATGGAACCCAGGGCCTTGTGCACATGCAGCAACTGCTCTACCACTGAGCTGCACCCTTAGATTTCCCCCCCAATACAGAAAATTACTTTGCTTCTGTTTATGGCAAACAGGGAAGAGAAACCTGAGCTGTATCCATTTTAATAGCAAACGTTACAGTAACAAGTCGCCAAGAAACTTTAATTAGGGAGTACTAAAAGACTAGTTCTTGATTGCATTTACATGAAGGTTCTTGGACATCACACATGAAACGAGTGATGCCAACTTTGGACTGAAGTTTAACTTTCTTTGCACACCACTGTTCTGGGGGACAACTGTGCTATACCCATGTTTGCCTTAGAGTCACAGGGTGTGTCTCACAGCTGGCCTTTGCAGTCCCCACCCAACAGAGTTAGTGTATAGTTTGGAATCTAACAGCTCTTACCTCTGTGACTTTCTTTCGATCAACCACAAAGTGATCGCAGGAGTTGATGAGACTTAAAAGAGCAACTGCATCGCATTCCTCAGGGCCTCGTTTATCTGTTAGTCCTCGGGGCATGAAGGCCTGTCCGGAGAGGGAGGTGCAAGAGGTCTCCAAGCCCCTCCAACTCTAGGAGCTGGCGAGGCAAAGTTACCTGCCTATTTCCCAAGCAAGGACTGACATTCTCCTGCACTCTGAGGTTTCAAGTTAGAGACTCAACAAGTGAGAAAACTGTCACAGCTAAGCCTGAGCCAAGGGCAATAACTGAAGGGCCGTGCTGTCCCTCTGCTATTAGATTCACCTGACATAGCCGGGTTCAGACCTGTCTTAATGGAGCAGAAGCAGAAAGGATGGTAGAAGGTACCTTTTTGCTTTTCCTTACTGAAATTTCAGTGCTTGAGTTGTTAAAAAGGATTTTGAAATAATAGTTATTCCAAAGTGGACACTTTTTAAGTGTCTTGAAAAATTTCAGTACAGCTGCTTTAAGAGTCTGGGCTTTGGAGCGTGACAAAGCTGGTTTAAATGCCGGATCAGTCACTTGCGCCTGTGTGACCATCGGTAAGTTTCTTATCCTCAGATTCCTCGTCAGCAAATGAAGGATAACTGTCTTCATCTACCTTAAAAGATGCTGAGAACTGAGTGAGTGCAAGCAGAAGATGACTGCAGTGCCTGGCCTGGCACACAGTGACAGAGGCCAGAAATACTGGCAATTATGATGTTGATGGTGTGAGGTGAAGTAGGACCTGCACGGGAGTCAGAGGGAATCCTAGGATCTGAGGTCCTGCACGCACCAGAAGGCCTTGTTTTAGCAAGACCTTGCCTCCAGCAGGAGTTTATGGCATGGACCACAAAACTTGGGCATACTTCTCTCCTGAAATGTTGCCAAGCTTACATCTGGATGCAACTACTTTCCCAGGCTAGGACTCTCAAGGGTACAGCCCTGCCAAGGGACTAGAATAGATGATAAGTGAAAAAAAAAAAAAAAAACACTCTCAACAAGAGCTCTAACTAAAAGGAATCTCCACCAACACAAACATACTTCAATAAGCAAGTAACTGCCGCCTCCTACAGCGTGGCTTGGAACTGTGCTCTGACAATGCTGGTGGCAAGTGCTGATGAGCGCCGGGCAGAGTCAGGGCTGCGCTGCTGCTGGCAGGGGAACTGGAATTTTTAATTAAGAATTCTGTGTCCACTGAATGCCCCCTACAAAGGTACAGTGGCCAGTACCACCACCATATTTCTATGTCTCCATGGCCACTGACATGCCAACAACTCTGATAGAAGCTCATCACAGATGCTACAAAGATGAGCAAACAAGCAAACCAATCTCAGGCAGACTAAAGCAATGCAATGGCAGAGAAGAAACTCTGCATTTTCCTTTCAGCAACGTGGAATTAAGCAAATTAGGGAGGCTTTAGTTGCCTCCAAACCAGGTCTAGTTTCTCTTTTCCATTGAAAGGCAGGTCCTGTCTGGCCCTTCCACATTACCATTTTACTTTAGTAATTATCTCCCTGAACTAGAAGCCTCCCTCCCCGCCTGTGGTCACTTTGCTGATAGGAGATGAGGCTAGAGAAATGAGCAGGGCCAGATCATGCGGGGCTCACTGGCTCTAGGTGGAAGTGGGAGGTTTATTTTAGGGCTGTTGAAAGCCAACCAAGGGTTTTAGGCAAGGGCATGGGGTATCTGATTGAATTTCCATTTGAAAATGGCCTGCCCTGCCACCTGGGCCAACCAGAGGTGCCTAGAGAAGCCCAGAAGCCCAGGTGGGAGGCCTCAATTAGAGTCCAGGTAGGAGACAGGTATAAGCTGTGATGTGAAGATGGAGAGGAAGAGGATTCCAAAAGTATTGCGTGGGAGGATTTTTTAAAAAATATTTTATTTATTTTTAGGTGGACACAACATCTTTCTTTGTATGTGGTGCTGAGGATCGAACCCGGGCTTCACGAATGCACTACCGCTTGAGCCACACCCCCAGCCCCCAAACAAGGATATTGAAAGGGAAAAAGACAAGATTCCAGGAAACTGTTGGTGTGAACGGGGGTTGGGTGGGGGAGTCTTTAGGATGGGAAGGCAAGGAAGAGTCAGCTAAGCAGCCGGGATCCATGCCTCTGCCCCTCAGAATTCTGAGACAGAGCGCTACAGGCAGAAATGTGGGAGCCACCAGCGTGAAGGCAGTATTCAACTCCACAGGCCTGGCAATATCAGAGAAGAAGGGGACAGAAGAGGTTCACTCCTAGGACACCAGGAAGACAGAAGAGCAGCCAGGAGATAGAAGAAAGGCAGGAAAGAAAGATGTCACAAAGCCTGGAGTGTTTTAAGAATGGCCAGAATGGGGCTGGGTTGTGGCTCAGCAGTGGAGCGCTCTCCTAGCACAGGACCTGGGTTTGATCCTCAGCACCACATAAAAATAAAGGAATTATGTTGTGTCCATATTTTTTAATATTTAAAATAAATATTTTAAAAAATGGCCAGGACGGGTGCAGTGGCGCACACCTGTAATCCCAGTGGCTCAGGAGGCTGAGGCAGGAGGATTGTGAGTTCAAAGCCAGCCTCAGCAACTTAGCGAGGCCCCAAGCAGCTTAGCAAGACCCTGTCTCAAAATAAAATATAAAAAGGGTTGTAGATGTGGCTCAGTGGTTAAGTGCTCCTGGGTTCAATCCCCAGGACAAAAAAAGAGAAAAGAGTAGCCAGTAGACAGGTAATGCTGCATGCCTCAGAGGTAAGAAAGATGAGCTGGAAAACTGAAGGCCACAGAGGCTCTAGAGTGAGTTCATGGGAGCTAAGGAAAGGAGAATAGACAACACTGTTTTTGAGAACACCTTCAGGAGGCAGGCAGAGGAATGGGGATACAGTTGGAAAGAATGGATCAAAGGAAGCTTTTTTCCTAAATTTTATTTCTAAGTATTTACAAGTGATTTTTAAAAATAGCTTTATTGAGATAGAATGCCCCCATCTAAGCATACAATTCAGTGGTCTTTAGTATATTCCCAGAGTTGTACATCTTACACCACAGTGAACTTTAGAATATTTTCATGCCCTCAAGAGAAACCTCATATCCATTAGCTATTATATCCATACCCAAAGGCCAACAAACATTAATTTACTTCTGTCTATATAAATGTGCCTAATCTCAGCATTTCATATAAATGGAATCATATGGTATGATTTCACTTAGTATTGTTTTCAAGATTCATCCATGTTCTTACATGTATCAGTGCTTCGTGACTCCTTCTGGCAAAATAACATTCAACTGTATGGATTCTGCTCATCCATTTGGACATTTGGGTTGTTTTGACCTATTGCAAACAGTGCTGTTATGAACATCTGTGCACATATTTTTGTGGGGATGTTTTCATTCCTCGAGTATGTGTGGAAGGGTAGACCTGCCAGGTCATATGTTAACTGTTTGATCCTTTCTTTTCTTTTCTTTTTTTTTTTAAAGAAAAAATTAAATAGGGGCTGGGATTGTGGCTCAGCAGTGGAGCGCTCACCTAGCATGCACAGGACCCCGGGTTTGTTCCTCAGCATCACATAAAAATAAATAAATGGAATAAAGGTATTGTATCCAACTAAAAAAGTTAATTAAAAAATCAAATAGGTGCTGGGGATGTGGCTGAAGTGGTAGCGTGCTCGCCTGGAATGCGTGCGGCCCGGGTTCAGTCCTCAGCACACATACAAAGATGTTGTGTCCCCTGAAAAACTAAAAAATAAAAATATTAAAATTCTCTCTCCCCCCCCTCTAAAAAAAAAATCAAACAAACCAAGGGGATATTAAAGATACTTGTATGGTGATGGGAAAACGCTAAGGGGAAGGAAGAGTGGACAACCAAAGGCTCAGGGTCCTTGGGCAGGTGGGAGGGGATAAGATCCAGTATATAAGTGGAAGGAGGACAACAGGAGATACACCCTCCTTTGTAGCAAAAGGAGTAAGTGATGTACCTGGTACCTGGGGAAGATGAGGTGGTCTGTTTGGGGACATCCATTTACTCCATGACATGTACACAGGGTTAGCGGCTGGGGCGAGTGATGGATCCAGAGTGGGAACTTAGTGAGGAAAGGTAGGAAGAGTAGTCCCTAGGGAGAAGAGGAGCCAGGCCACTGGGGTCCTGATCCACAACCCTGTCAGCTCTTGTAAGCCCCTCACCAAGCAGAAGCAGATAATGGTGTCATGAGGGCTAGAGTTGGGCTGCAAGGGACTGATTATAATGATAGGTGATGGGAAGAGCCAAAGGCAGGCAGGGGACCAAGGTTGCTGGGTACTGTGAAAGTGATGGGAGCCTCAAAGAGGTAGTGGTATAAGGACAAGGGGTGGGGGTGGGAGAGTTTGGAAAAGTGTGCCAAAGGCAAGAAGGATGTTAAGACACTGACCCTTGCGGTGCCAACAGGGTCCATTCAGGGTGTGAGTATGTAAAAGGGAGGCTGAAGTGGAGTGGACTAAGGATGCTAGAATAGGGAGCCTAGGAACTAAAAGTTTGTTTGGGGGTACTGGGGACTAAACCCAGGGGTGCTTTACCACTGAGCCCCATTCCCAGCCCTTTTGGAGGCAGAGACTTGCTAAGTTGCTAAGGCTGACTTGGAACTTGTGATTCTCTTGCCTCAGCCTCCTGAGTAGCTGGAATTACAGGTGTGTGCCACCATATTGGGCTCCCAGGAACTAAGAGGATGGGATCAGAGAAGGAAGGACTGCAGATGATCAGCAACAATGAGGAGGAAAGAGCGGCATAAGCAGGTGGCATGGGCTTCAAGGGGATTCTGAGACTATGAAAACCGCAATGAAGATTAAACAAGTGAAGCACAGTGAAGGCCAAGGGTAGAGTATTGTTGCCTTAAGTTGTGTGTGTTTTTTTCTCTTTTCTAGGTAAAAGAAGTTGGTAACTGTGTGGCGGCAATAAACAAAATGGGGAGGAGGATGTAGGTGTGGTAACTTTACTGGTCTCCAAGTCTCAGGTCATGGACACAGTCCAACTCGCTCGTTTTTAAAGGTTAGGGAGCAAAGGCTGGCCCAAGGTCACACCAGCAGCTGGGCCGGGCTTCCTCTGCTTCCCAGGAAGCAGACGGGTGGGAGAAAGTTTCTACTTCACTGAGCTGGGTTTTGGTTCATCCTAACAGACCCAAATTGCCTAGACACTAGGCCCAGGATAGCCGATCGCTCTGCCCCTGTTTTGGGGGCCCGGGCTTCAGCACAGACACACCAGACGCCCGCTGACTTACCTTGGCTACCTCCCAAGCGTCCACGGGCCAGAGGCCCGGCCGGCAATTTCCCCAGTGCACGTCTCCGTTCCTGTTGATGTGATGTCTCAAAATCTCCCGTTTCCACTCCGCGCACACCTGACACTGCGGCTGAAACTACAGGGGCCGACGCTAAGGAGAGCCCGGGAGGGAAGGATGGCACCTGGGAATCCGAGCCCCGCGGAGGGAACGGAACACTGCGCTCCGGGACAGGAAAAGGAAGGGGATGGGGGTGGGGAGGGCTGGTTTAGGCCTCGGGCCACGTGCTCACCTGACGGGCACGCGGGCTGCACCGCGAGCCGCCGCGGCAGGTGGCGCTGGGGCTCAGGCCGGGGGCCTCGGCGAGCAAGCCGCGGTGGAAGGAGAGCACCTCACGGCCGACGAAGCCCTGCAGGCAGCTGCGCAGTAGCAGCAGGCAGTGTCCGGCTTTCACCCAGTTCTTGTACTCTGCGCAATTGAGGCGCGCGGCCAGCTCCGAGAGCACCATTTCCCACGCCACCCAACGGGCGGGGCGGACCGCAGTGCGCAGGCGCAGGCCCTGGGAGGCGCCTCAGGCGCAGGCGCGGTCCCGCCCAGCAGCCGCCGCATGCGCAGGGAGGAAGTGGTGGAGCGAGGCGCTGCGTCACCGACCCCGGAGGCGGAGCGATTTTGCTTCCGGGACACGTCAGGTGACCGCTATTTAAATGTTTGGTGCTTGCTAATGCAGCCTCAGCCTGAAACCCTTTAGGTCCTCTTCTCTGTCCCCCCAAAGTGAGACCCTGCCAGCCTCCGATCGACTTGCTCTCTTGATGCACAGGTTCCTGTTTTAACTCTATCGTCGAACAGTGTAAAGTACTCAGGGACACGTCTTGAATTGTGTATCCCTTCCGTTATGCAATTCTAGAAAGTTCACTGTTTCCTAAACGCACGGACTACTGTAGTAAATCCAGACGTTAATGAAACGCTGGCTCCCTGCACCGCGCACCTATTTTGCGCCCGCGGTGTGCCAAGGTGACACAAAACTCAAAAGCTACACTACTGGGTCACCAAGCAGAGGTAGACAGGGCCTGGATTCGGGAGGCTGCACAGCCCCAAGCTGGATAATAGCGTCCTGAAGCATAGGGCAAAGGTTACATTATTCAGAGTGCACAAAACAGTCTGATTTAAGTTCCAACTAAGTGCCTAGGAGGTTAGAGGGCATCAGATTGTCAACTCCAAGTGACAAGCGGTCCTGTCAGCTTTAGCTGCTTTTAGTGAGTTTCTTTGAGCTTGGAAAAACATGTCTAAATTGTTTGTAGTTAAAAGGTTCTGAACCACCAGGCGCGGTGGCGCATGCCTGTAATCCCAGCAGCTAGGGAAGCTGAGGCAGGGGGATCGCGAGTTCTAAGCCAGCCTCAGCAAAAGCGAGGCGCTAAACAATTCAGTGAGACCCTGCCTCTAAAATAAAATAGGGCCGGGACATGTGGCTCAGTGATCGAGTGCCCTGAGTTCAATCCTCGGTACCAAAAAAAAAAAAAAAAAAAAAAGGCTTTGAAGGAACTAGTGTGAACAATTGAAAACCTTCCCCTGATTGCATGGTTCACAGCAAGAGGTACAGTGTTTGGAAGCAGCAGCTCTGGACTCAAGGTGCCTCTTTGTGGTTTGAACTTAATATTAATTTCATCCCAAGTTAATTTACTTCATTTCTTTGGGCCTCCATGTGTCATCTGTAAAAGGATATTGATACTTACATCCTAGGGTGGTGGTTGTGGTGGTGGGGAGGAGTGCAGGAGGATTGGGATTAAAAACTCACTGAAACACTTAGAACAGTGCTCAAATAAACTTAGTAAATATTAACTATTATTTTGTGTTGACCTAAATATGCCCTTTCAATCAGTTACATTCGTGGGTAAGGTATTTTAATAAATTACCGGCCACTTGTAAGTGGAAGCAATTTATAGAAAATTGTGAGCAGATGATGGTGTTCCTGGAGTGCTGGCTGGCCTCTGCTGTCTTAATTACCTCAATACCATATCCATCCTAAATAAATGCAAATCATACCCTTTGACACATTTCCATTCTGTTCATTCCACATCAAAACCAAATGAAAATTTCACAAGAAACAATTAAATCTACATTAACATTTTTTCCTTTCTGTCCCTTAATTTTCTGTGTATTTATTTTATATCAAGAACACTTGGAGCTGGACACAGAGACACATGCCTATAGTCCCAGCTATTTGAGTGGCTGTGGCAGGAGGATCGCTTGAACCCAGGAGTCTGAAGCCAGCCAGGGCAACATAGCAAGACCCCGTGTCTTGAAAAAAATAAAAAAAGTAATGGACTTTATTTCTTTTGGGGGGAAAAAACATGAAAGAAAGAAACAACTTTTATATTGAAATTGTGTCAGAACTCAAGAGTAGCAAGTTATACTTCCTGAAGTTATCAAATTACGCACAGTCCAAAGACTGTTGGCATCCCATAGCCAAACAGGTTATTGTGTTAACTGCAGCAAAGTTATTAGTGGCATAGAAATTCAAAATCATGTATATTTTTGTTTATGCTTGCACTTAGCTCACTCAGTTAATTTTCAAAGGTAAGGTTCAGCTCCTGCTATTAATAACTTGGTATAGTCTAGTCCAGTTTTCACTTTCCTCCTTATTCTAAAAGTACTTCTACCCATTTTGAAAGCATTTCTGCAGATGGAAAAAAGAAGGTAACAAATTAGGACAGATTTCTTCTTTCAAAATTAAAACTAATACTAAACCAAACTACAATCCAAAACATCTTCACCAAAATTAACTAGAGAGAGTTGGTAGTTCTCTGAAACTTGTACAAATTTTATTTATTCATGTAAATACTAAAATCACATTGAAAAACACCTTCAAGTTAAGTCCCACACCACCTACTATGGAAAATTACTATGGGCATCCAGTCCCTTTGATTGAACGTGAATAACAAATGAGGCAAAAGACATGGTTTGTGATGAAACTTATGATTCAAACACTAAATGTTTTCAAGCTTTAATAAAGTATATATACCAATTCCAAGTACCAAGCATGATATAAAAATTCAAATTCATGGATTGACTCTTAATAAGCATCAAAAGCAAATTCTTTTCACTGAATCCTATCTTACTCTTGCACAATGCATTCAAAGATGAGTTACGATTAGGGAAAAAAGTGTCCGTTGAATGCATCAAGTCTAAAAATGCAATTAACATTTCAAAACCACACTTAAAAGGGAAAATGCCTGAAAAGTTAACTCTATTAATAAAATTATTTGAAACAATGTTATCCTATGGATAAAAATACACTTCTTATATATACATGTAGATTTCTACATGAAAGAAGGGATTCAGTCCCAAACAGAAAAGGACTGATCCTTGATAAAGACATCTTAGATTGCCAAACTGATGTGATTATCACTCTAAGGAGAACTGAAAACAAAGATTAAAAAGGCAAGTTAAAGGAAGGATAAAAGTTTAGTCACCTACTCCTGAATAGGGGCAGAGTTGGGTGAGAAGCAGGAGATGAAGGCAGAAGACATAGAAATAAGACAAAGAAGGCTTCAACTCTGACCAGAAATGAATGGAGAATCAAGCAAAGTTGAGAACAGATATGATACACAGTTACAGTTGAGAGGCTTGAAGCTATAATTTGGTGGTTATACTTATAGAAGCCCAATTATCTTAAAATGGAATTAGACAAAGCATCTAAAATTTAATGGAGAGCCAGTATTAGAGTGACCAGAAAACTCAGCATGGCGTTATCATTTTAAAAACTTTTCCAAATCACATCAAGTCACCAGAAGATCTCTGATTCAGATCATGTTCTCTGAAGCTGAAAAAGTCCCCGACTGGGAGAGACAGTGCGGGTCTCCAAAAAGAAACCTTGCTCAGATGCATCAGTACCAGAAACTCCACTGGACCCTAGAGAGGCCCTGAATCTTGGACTCTTCAAAATGACTGGACCAGGTTTCTTCTAAGTAAAACATCCTACTGTTTTGTGGACAATGAATTGAGATTGTTTAGAACAACCCCAATTTTGGTTGGGAAGGCAAGGAGAAGCGAGATAAAGAAATGTCACAGAAATTCATGCAAAGGTAGAACATTAGAGTTTTTGTTTCCTAATTAACGCTGTACACACAAGTATCCTGTGATGGAATTTGCCTGAAAGTTTCCGTATACTCAACAGATGAGAATGATTGCATTGTCTGAGATCCTTGATCAGTGCAAATCACTTCCTCTTCTCAAAGACTAGGTTCTTTTTCTGTTTTTCACCCAAATCCTACACTGAAAGACAACCAAGGTGCTAAATATTATCACCAGTCAAGTTAGGCATGATTGAAGAAAATAAATTAACCTTGAAATAAAGAAGATGTTTCTGGTCAAACTTCAGACATATCTGACTAGAAATTACTGGCCCCACTAGGTTAAAGATGAAGGGAGGCCCTAAGAAGTCTAGAGAGCTTATACACACACAAGTGAGTGTCACTTTTTTTTAACCTAGTTTTATTAAATATTGCTTCTTTGGGATGTGTTTATAACAACTCCCAGAACATTTTCATGTAAGGATTCAAAGCGGTCATATTAAAATACAGCTCCAATATAAAGTTTATCACAGTTTTACAGTATTCAAAAATGACAGACCTGCCTTAAAAAACAAAAATCAAAAAAAGGACTATTACACCCAAAACATAAGAAAACAATTAAATAAACAAGTTTGGCATTTTCATAACTTTATAGTATAAAACAGAATATTAAATCTATTACTGGCAAGCGGACACTCATGAATTACCTAATTTGAAATGTGTCCCATTTAAACACACTATACAAGTTCACTATACAAAAGATTGAAGGTCTTTTTGATGAAAGAAGTGCACCCTGAAAATTTTTGCCAGTTTAGAATATTTATCTCTGAAAATCAAAAAAGTCCTTTTCCTTTTTTAAAACTGAAGGCTGAATTCAGACTTTTTTGTGTTGTTTTGTCTCATTTGTCAGCCTTCCTGGTTTAAAAACAATAGTGTCTATGGACGCCCACCAGGGGGCAGTGTAAGATTAGCCATTAAATCACGAACAGCTGCAAATATTGTGCATTCACCTGCAACAGAGAAAAATGGTCATTAGCTATTCGCAATACAGGAAAGATGATGTTAACACACCGGTGGGGGAGAGGGGAATTAAATATAAAATTAGTAAGAACTTAAAAGAAAGACTAACTTTTTCACTGTTCAGATTATAGAGGACTAAATTGTGGTGTGAAGAACTAGATAATATTTGGTTTGGGATCTGTTTTGTTCTCAAGAGAGAACAGTGGGAAAGTCCCACTTAGGTATGAATTTAAGAACATACACCAAGGGTTCTATAGAAATAATGTTCCTCTGGATAAGCCTTTAAAATTGAGCGTTAAGCTAAGGTTTAAGGCTTGTGCATTTTGAACCTAGAATGAAAAGATCGAGTTTATACTCATGTATTAGTTCTAATTTCAGTGGTGTCCCTCTAATGTTGCATTAAAGGCCAAATAAAAATGTCCATGACAGCACTGTCCAACAGAACATTGTGAAGATGGAAAT